AGCTCGAAGCCAATCCGTGACGGCGCCCACGGACACAGTCCCGAAAGAATAAGGGCGCATACACACGCTGGGGAGGAGGGGGGGCTAAGAAACTTAACTTCGGACACAGATACACTTAAGAAAAAACAGCCTACGGTAGCTGTTTGCTGACCTTTGTGGAGCCTCATTAAAAACTCCCTCAAACAAATCTGCCTTCTTTGACTCGGAAACCTTCGCGTCGTCGACTAGAGCTAGCACCAGCGCTCCATCATAATAACTGGTGACCCTAACGTGATGCAAACACGCAACCTTGTGAGCTGAGGCCAGAGGCGCGTAGGAGCGGTGCGGTTGAGGGGGCGGGACAACCGGTCTTTCCCCTAATTTTTGGTTTGGGGACCCTCGTTTGTCGACCCACTGCGCCTTTCGCCAGTTCTGCAAGCTGTCAGTGGACCATGAAACGAATACATGGGCTTGCACGAAGAGGCAACGGAATAATGAAGTGACTATGGGACAGGTGATTTCCACCTTTACCTACCCCGTGAACAGAAACAAACGAATTTATAAGGTGAAGTTTTTTCAAGTAAAAGAAACCGTTAAGAAGGTTGGCTGTACAGAGGAGTTGAGTCAGTGGCAGGCAGAAGCTTAAGACTTGTCGCCTTTGCACTCTGCCCCGTTGGGGTAACGTTTGCGGTAGCGGTCCACGACCACTGGGTCGATCAAGTAGGTACCGTCCAGCTGGTTTCCAAGGGTTATCCTTGAAGGGAAAACGTTGGAGGGAAAGGAATACAGAGTTAAGGAAACCCAATGAGGAGGAGAAGAAGAATAACCTTTACGGTGACATTAAATACTTGATGATAATGTCCTTTTCACAGGTAATGAGGGCAGGCTCCCCGCAGGAACGCGGGCCTGGCAACAAACTGCTTAACGTAACTATGTTAACGTCCCAATGGGTGTTGGTAGGCGGGGTGAACAAAGCCGACGATACAAGGACAATCTAAATACCTCCATCAAAAACCTCAAAACCGACTCCCGACTTCACCGACAGTTAACTAGCGTATACCACTATAATTGCTTCCCTCCATCTTTCTTGGTTGCTATTTCTTACCCCTTGATGACCTGATCACCTCTAATAGTGTATTGGCCTATACCCACTATAATTACCCTCCTTTTGGTTATTGCTTT